CAACAATAAAATTAAAAAAGACTAATCACCAACCGTCATCTCAATTAGAAGATATTTTTGTTATTAACGATAAGTAAGTTATTATAAATCCTTTTTTTAGCATCATATCACAAAGTTATAAAAGAAAGATAAAGCGGAGAGAATAAACAAAATAATATAAGATAGAGAAAAGAATATAACTGATATATTATCTTTGAGAGAAAATTAATCTGTTTATAAGTACATGTGATAGTTGAACAATTATACAAAAAGAGAATAATACATAATAATGAAAATATAAATGGTAATAATTGATAGTGAATATTGACATTCACTAATTGAGACACTAATTATTATTCATAACACTTCTCCTTGAATATCCAATATTTAGAATGTGCCTTGTTAAAATCTTACTGGAAAAAATCATGTACAATAAAAACCTAATGAAGGAAAAATAGTACATCATTCATAAATATTTATTTTACCCCTCATGCATATAATCTTTAAGACGACGAAGACCAATCTTGTGAATCAACTACTCAAAAAAGTTTTCTTGAAAGTGGCTTTGTAAAGAGATCAGTTAGGTTGTCATCACTTGAGCGAACTTGTTGAACATTTATATCACCATTCTTTTAAAGATCATGAGTAAAAAAAAAATCAGCAAAATATGTTTTGTTCTATCTCCCTTTACGTATCAATTATCTTCATATATAATTGTGCAATACATGCAACATTATCTTCATATATAATTGACGATGTCATTTTTCCACAAGTTTTTCGTACATGTTGAATCACAAATCTTAGTCAAACACATTCACGACTTGCCTCATGTAATGCTAAAAATTTTGCATGATTAAATGAAACGACTAATATGGTTTGTTTTACAGATTGTCCTGAAATGGTTGTACCACCACTTGTAAACAAATATCCTCTAAGATAATGAAGGATTTGTTTAACTCCATTCCAATATCTTTGTGTAAGTGAAGAACTATATCTTGCTAACAAATTAACAACAAATGTTATATCAAGTCGTGTATAATTAGCAAGATACATTAGTGCTCATATAGCACTAAGATATGATACTTTGGGACCAAATATTTCTTCATCCTTTTCTTGGGATCTAAATGGATCTTTGTTAATATCTAAAGATCTTACAACTATAGGAGTGCATAATGGATGTGATTTGTCCATATAAAAACTTTCAAGCACCTTTGTTATGTAAGTTTCTTGATGCACAAGAATTCCATTTTCTAAATATTCAATTTGCAGTCCTAAGCAAAACTTTGTTCTTCCTTGATCCTTCATTTCAAATTCTTTCTTCAAGCAATCTATTGCTTTTTAAAGCTCTTCAAGAGTTTCAATAATGTTTATGTCATCTACATAAACTACAACTATGATAAATTCATTTTTAGATCCTTTTATAAATATACACGGAAAAATTAGATTATTTTTATATCCTTCTTATAACAAATATTCACTTAGTTGATTATACCACATACAACCTGATTGTTTTAGTCCATATAGAGATTTATTCAACTTGATCGAATAATCTTCTCTAGAAATTGGATCATTGGGCAAATTAAATCCTAATGGGAGTTTCACATAAATGTCAACATCAAAAGAGTCATACAATATGTTGTAACTACATTCATTAGATGCAAATTAAGTTTTTCATGTACAACCAATCTAATTAAGTATCGAAAAGTACTTGCATCCACTATAGGTGAATATGTCTCTTCAAAATTAATACCGAGTCTTTGTGAAAATTCTTGAACAACTAGTCTTGTTTTGTATCTCACAATTTCACCATTTTCATTTCATTTTTGCAAAAAAAAATCATTTGTATCTAATTGGTTTTACAGTTTTTGGTGTACGTAGTACTGGTCCAAAAAATATTTGCTTAGCTAATGAGCCTAATGCTGCCTAAATTACATCTTTCCACTTTAGCCAATCATTTCTTTGTCGAAAATCTTTGATGGACTTTGGTTCTTGATCCTCAATATCATTTATTATATTTAGGGCTATATTATGTGCAAATACATCATCAATATTAACGTTATTTTGGTTCCATCGTATTTCATTCATGACATAATTTACTAAGATTTCTTCATTTTCATAATTTCAAGTATCTGAGTTTCTTCTAGATTTGGAATATTAGTTATGTCATAGGAATTTTTTTGGGTGTTTACATCCTCAATTTGGTCATTTTTCTCTTTAGCCCTTTTTTTTAATTCGAGGATTCTCATCTTTGGAGTCAATTGGTCCATCATGTTTCAGACGTATTTGTGACTCATTTGCAATATTGGATTGTCCAACAGGGACTTCGACTCTTATTGAAGCATTAGTAGTTGGTACATATGACTTAGTCACTCCTTTTGGATCCGTGAATACATTTGGTAATTGGTTGGCTAAATTTTGCAAATGAATTATCTTTTTGAACTTCTAGTTGACATTGTTTTGTACGAGGATTGAAGTGATACAATGATAATTCATTTCAATTAATATCTTTTTCTAGTTGTTTGTGTTCTCCCCTTAATGTTGAAAAAATCAACTCATTAAAATGGCAATCGACAAACTAAGTCCTAAATAAATTTTCAGTTAATGGTTCAACATATTTTATTATAGATGAAGATTCATACCCAACATATATTCCTAATTTTCTTTAAGGATCCATTTTAGTTCTTTTAGGTGGGGCAATTGGAACATATACATCACATCCAAAGATTCTTAAATGAAAAATATTGGGTTGCTCACCAAAAATCAATTGTAAATGAGAGAATTTGTGATAACTTGTTGGCATGACGCAAATTAATAGCACAACATGTAAGATTGCATGCCCCAAGTTGACGTTGGAAGTTTTGATCTCAAGAGTAATGATCTTGTAATTAGTTTTAAATGTTTGATAATTGATTCTGCAAGTCCATTTTGTGTATGAAAATGTGTTACTAGATGTTCAATATCAATTTCAATGAACATACAATACTCATTAAAAGCATGAGATGTGAATTAACCAACATTATCCAAACAAATTTTTTTAATTGGGTAGTCAGAAAAATGAACTCTTAATCTAATTAGTTGAGCTAATAATCTCGCAAACACCTAGTTGCGAGTAGATAATAAACAAACATGTGACCATCTTGTTGATGCATCAATTAAAATCATAAAATATTTAAATGGTCCATATGGGGAGTGTATTGGTCCACAAATATCACCTTGTATCTATTTCAAAAATAAGATAGATTCATTCTCAATTTTTGTTGGTAATGGTCTAATTATTAACTTCCCTTAGAAACAAGTAATTCATGAGAAAATATTTGTTTAAAGAATCTTCCGGCTCTTCAATAAGTGTCTGCATGAATTTTCAATTATTTTTTGCATCATGATAGTCCTAAGGTGACCCAACCGGTCATGGCAAACCTCAAATTTATTTTGATTTGTAAAGTTCTAGTTTATAATAGTATGTATTTCAATTGTATTAATTAACATACGTACAGTACAATCTATAGGAGAAAACAGGTAATTTTTTCAATACTTCCTTTTTATTCAAGTGAAGTTTTATGATATAAAGATATTCTACATTTCTTTTATTGTTTGTTTCAATATGAAACTCATTTAAATGAATATCCTTGAAACTTAATAAGTTTCTTTCTCATTATATTTATAAAAAAATTATTTAATAAAAATGTATTTATGTCATTGCTAGGTTGACTTTAAGGGAAAAAAATAATGCTAAAAATTAAGAAAATTATTCTCCCTATAAATGTATCAAAAAATTAAGGAAATAAAAATGAATCATATTTTCATTGAATCCTAGTATTCTTGTACAAATCACAATCAAGTTATAATTGAATGATTTTGAGTGATGATCTTCATTGATTAAAATAATAGGCGTATAACATTATGAAAATATATAATATCAATTCTATCAATAAGATTTAAAAACTAAACTTTTTAAGATTTAATAGCACAATACAAAGATTCAATCACATACCATGTCAATTATTTCAACCAATTCGATTAGAAACAATATTGAATTATAAAAATAAGGGACTCATAATCCTTTCAATAAATCACACATGAACCTAAAAAGGTTTAGGGACCACTTCACTATCCACTATAATTGTTTGAAATATCATTTAATATTTCAACTATGACCTTGACAAAATCATTCTACTTCCGATGGTACTCTTATTCATATCAAAAGACTAAACATAATATTTATATCATATTTGTTTCTTTATCTATCCTTTTTTTCACATTTTGAAGAAAAAAATTTCACTTCAGGTAAAAATTATTTTTCTTTTCACTTTTTAAATTATTTTCTCACTTTCAATAAGAAAAAAAATTCTTTAATTTTCATTCTTGCACAACTTTTCCCACTTTTGGTGAGGAAAAATATTCTTAAATTTTCATTTGACCATTGCCAAAAAAAAATGTTCTTATAATTATATTTTCATGATTTTGTCTTCAAGACCAATTGTATTTAAATAAATTTCATAATTATAAAAAAATACAAATATTTTATCAAATACATAATATGAAAAATATGATTACATAATAATGACATAATATATTACGTTAATGAAACATTAATATTTCGTCTTTCTGGTGAAAAAATAATAATAAAGTAAACGAGATTGAATATTCTCTTTTGATAGTGTCTTTTAGACACATTTCAAGGATGCATGAAATTATTTTTTATTTAATAGCGTTTCAAGACTACTATAGTGTCTTGATGACTACTTTAATTCATAACAATATAAATAATACAAATATTTGATAAAAATACTTGTTATGGAAGATGAATAGCTAATTTCAAATTATTTGTCTTGAAAAATATGACTTTCTTAAAAAAAATTCTTCATAAGTTTGTCTTGCAATTACAATACCAATAGAAAAAAGACTATCACGTTCATAACGTATTAAAATAATAATAATAATAATAATAATAATATTAGATAGAGAAAAGAACCTAGCAAGTATATTATCTTAGAAAACACTAATTTATTTATAAATACATATTATAATTAAACAATTATATATAAAAAAATAATACATAATGGAAATATAGCATGTCATAGATCCTTTGTATCAGAATTCATAACGGTACATTCATAACGGTATCATTTATAGCAACATATCACAAAAACATGTTTAAACTTGCAAGCAACACATCTTCACTGATAATGAATAATTGTTTAGAGGGTATGCAACTGAACTTCAGCCATTCTGCATTAAAAAGTTCAGCTGTCAGCAGATGTAAACTGGTAAGAGGCATAAGAGAGACTGCCCAAATCAATACTGCTATGGATGAGCTTAGCCTTTGAGTTTTGACCAGCAGCACCAATAGCAACATGCAATGGGAAAAAGTGATCTGGCCAGGGATGAGCTTTTTTTGCATGTGGTGCTTTCTCTTCATAATGATTTACATCTTCATATCTACAAAAGCAATTCAAAACTTCAACAACCAATTCATGAAGAGCCAAACAAACTCTACGACATTCCATGATTAGTTTTCCAATGTCAAACAAAATCATGGCAATTAGTGTTGGTAACATGAGAGGGGATAAAACCAGAGTGAATTTGACGCTACATCTCAATCCAGAATCTTAATACATCAGGTTTTTATAGGTTTTTTTTTTACTTATATACTACTCAGTATGCTTAATTATATCTAAAATGAGAATTTCATTCACACTTGCACATCAACAATTAGATCCATGTAGTTAACATCTGCATTAATCAAATATGAAGATGAAAACAGGAAAAGGGTACCTTCCTTGAAGAAGAGAATCTTTCAACCAATTGTCAAATTCTAAAGCCCAGGGTGCAACAGTACTAGAGTGACGATCAATTTCTCTCAAGTTGTGAACAGCACTTCCAGAACCCATAATCAAAACACCTTCATCTTTAAGAGGGGCCAATGCCTTTCCCATGTTATAATGATAAGTTGCATCTTGGTGAGATTGAACAGATAATTGACAAACTGGGATATCAGCTTCTGGGTACATCAAAAAGAGAGGAACCCAAGCACCATGATCAAGTCCTCGCTTTGTATCTTCATCAACTCGGCTGAAACCTGATTCCTTGAGTAGTTCCTTCACCCTCCTTGCCAATTTTGGAGCTCCAGGTGCAGGATATTTAAGCTGGTAGAGGAAGCATAATGTAATCTAAGAAATTTCTATATAAATCAACCTAATAGTCTAGTACCATGTCAAATCGAAAAACAGCACCGTGGACTAAAGTAACATTCATTTCTTAAAGTTAAACATTTTGGACTACCAAAACCAACGTAGAGGAAAATGATTCTAATATCCTGAAAGGGCAAACATAATATGGTTCTACCAGCTGCTGGCAAAGCGAAAAAGATAGCCTCATATATATTTGGGGGAAAAAATTTGTGCCCCTAATTTAACATTCAATGAACTAAATAGAATCAAAATTTTATTTTTCATCATTTATAAAGTGGTGGAACAAACATTACTCATGGACAAGAATTTTACATAGGATTTTCCCACAAAGATTAAAAACACCTGCTTTCAAACAGAAAAATCTAACAACATAATTAACAGATACTCATGAGTCATGAGTCATGACAAACATATGAATATGATCGTTTCTTGCTAAACTAAAAACACTTGAAAATAAACAAAGAATGGACAACATGGTGAATAGGGGTGATCAAAATTTAAGAGGTACTAGGTGGAAACCTGGTACATTTGTTTGGGAAAGTTATAGAAGTCGTAGATGGTGTCGTTGACGGAGTCAACAACATTGACCGTTGGAACCTTGGCTTCCCAATGACCAGAGATGACGAGAATTGAAGTGGGTTTCTGAGGAAAGACGTCCTTCTTCCATGACTGAAGGAACTTCCTAGCCTCAAGGGTCTCATCAATGGACAAAGTGGGTGATCCATGAGATATGTAGAATGTCTCCTTCAACGCCATATTTACTAACCACTCTTATTTTGCTGAATCAACTTCTCTCTCACACACAACAACAATCTCCTCCTCAACTCAACTTTGCTTTATATATATACAGATAGATACACAAATGTGAGATAGAACGAAGGAGGAGACGCAAATAAGTGGACGTTGTTTTTTTTATGGTTTAATTATTCTTCTCCTCTTTAAAATACGACTAAAAGTTACTAGGGTCCTCTAAAAAAATTTAATTTGTTTTTTGCATTTTTATTATAATTTTTTTATAAATTACTTTTTCTAAAAATAGACTCTTCCTTATTTATACTTGGTTTATATATATTATTAATCTTTCAAATTTAAAATAAAATTATGTTTGATCTTTTAAATTTAAAATTAATTTATTTAATCTCTAAAAAATCTTGTTTTAACTTTTAGATAACTCATAGCAAAATTATAATGATAAATTGAAATATTTATGTGATATTAATTATGTTTAATTTGATTTTTTTTTCTAATAATGACATTAATTGATGAATTTTGTATAATAATATTTGACTGATTCATTAATAATATTTGAATATAAAAATTAAAATAAGATATTTTTTATTTCAAGGATTAAAAAATTTAACTTTAAAATTAATAGATCATAAACAAATATACCTCATATTTGAGGGAGCTAAAAGTAAATATTAAGCTTTAAAAAAAAAAAAATCGGTTCTGCGTGTATACTTTAGTAAATAAGTATCGACTTTAACATATTTTATTTTTAAAAGTACTAATTTAATATAAAAATAATAATAAAAAAAACCCCGAAAACGAATTTAGAAAATTTTAGAGAAATTAAAAAGTAATATTTTTACCCATATAATTTATAAACTTTACTGTATAATCTATATAATTAAAAATATTTTATTTTATATTTTTTGTATTTTTTTTATAAATTTTATTTATTTTTTAATTTATGTAACAATTAACTACAAAAATTAAAATAGAAAAAAACATGACATATATAAAATTAAAATAAAACATTTATAATTATATGAGTAAAAGTTATACTGGTTGAAGAGTAGTTAAATTTTTTTATTAATAAAATTTATAGTAAGATGAAAATGTCATGAACGTATTTTTATAGTTTTCATGATATATAATTTTTAAATGAAATGGTTAGGTGTAATTAATTAAAAAAGGAATTATTATTGTACAATTCGTTAGTCGTTACCCAATTAGTAATTAGAAAGCACTACGCAGTGACGCTGATGTGTGTCAAGGATGAAGGTGTTAGGTGGGTGAGGAATGCCTTTGGGTAGGTGAAACGATTTGGTGTAACAACGTTTCTTCCTCTTCAATAATTCTCCCACCTTTACTCAAATAATATATTTTCAAAAAATATTTACCCAAATAGTAACTGTGCATATTTATTTCTCCAACTAGCACTATTTATTGTTTATGTATTTTTTAAAAAAAAATTCGTTGTAAGTCCAGGTTATCTGGAAATTTTGCATCTGGAACGGTCCGTTCTGCAACCAGAACAGCCTGTTCTGCATGCAGCCTCATAGTGTTATTTTTGCATATGGAACGGTCCGTTCTTAAACTAGAACGGGCCGTTTTTAACCTAAATGTTGGAATGGCCCGTTCTAAACTAGGAATTTTAGCCCCTTTTTTGTAGTTTGGAACGGGCCGTTTAGCTTTTGGAACGGCCCGTTCGGGCCAATTTATGCACAATGTTTTTTTTTTCCAATATAATATGAATTTTAATGTTTAGCTTATAAACTATTATAATTATATATTATTTGGACATGTTTTCGTAGTGTGATGTGCAGGTTATCCATATTTTTCATTATTAGTCACAGTTTGACTCGTACAAGTTTCGAATCTATTAAGACAAGGTCTCATTATTATCATCTCGTGTTTTTAAGTTTAAGACACTATAGTTTCATACTTCAAAGGTGTTTCCTTTAAATCTAGCTTCAAACTTAGCATTGCAGCGAACACAATTTACCCTTTTAACACAAAGACAACGTAGTCTCAAAGAGTAACATCAAGTAATTAAATTTATTGAATATTAACATTATAAATATAACTAAATAAAGTTATTAAAACTCATTACAACGATAAAATCAATGGTGACGAGAACTAAATCCATGACCAATATTTGGACATGTCTTCCTAGTGTGACCAGATGTGTGACAATAGGAACAATTTTTTACACGATTATGTTGTTCTCTAATATCTATCTCTGTTCTAATCCTTCGTATACCTTTGCAACTTGTTGTAAGGTATATATGGGAGACATGTAGGTTTGATAGTTGTGATGTGCATGTAAGCATGAAGCGAGCAAGGGATATGAACTTTCTGGAACTTGCCACAATCACACCACATTTCATCTAGCCACATTTCATCTACCCTGCCTCTTTGAACGAAAAACTTGTTGCAACGAGTGTATGTGGCCATTACCATGGAATAAATTGACAGATTTCGTGTTTTCTTCAATACAGAATTAATAGACTCAGTTAGGTTTGTTGTCATGTGTCCCCAACGTCGTCCATTGTCCCATGCTAGTGTCCTTTTTTTCCTAGGAATGTTGTCTAACCATTGGGCTGCTTCAGCATTAGTATCTCTTACTATGTTGTAATAGTAAAAGAATCTAGGTTCAGTCATCTCATAGGCTGAAAAAAAAATAATTAAATAATGAAAACTAATTATTAAATGTTTAAAAAAAAGTAATGATAAAATTACCCATGTTGACGACATCCTTCTTCAGTGCTGCATTTTTGAATCGTCGCATGAAGTTTTGTGCAGTGTGTCGAATACAATAGACATGAACAAAATTATTTTCTGTCCAACCACTTCCATTTCTTGAGTATGCACTTCGAATAGCCTCAAGACGATCAGAAATTAGGCACACCTCGTCTTGCGGTGTTACATACCGCCTTAAGTTCTTAAGAAAAAAAAATCATGCATCGCTAGTTTCACCTTCAACAACAGCAAATGCAATAGGAATTATGTTGTTACGATCATTTTGCGCAACTGCGACCAATAACGTACCTTTGTATTTGTTGTATAAAAAGGTTCCATCAACTTGAACAATTGGTTTGCAGAAGGCAAAACCATCAATGCATGGTTTAAAGGTCCAAAATAACCTTTTGAATATAACATTCCCCTCTTTCCCAGAACGGGCCGTTTCAAAACCAAAACGGCCCGTTCTAAACTTCTAAAAAGGCCTAAAAATCTAGTTTAGAACGACCCGTTCTAGTTTTAGAACGGTCCGTTCTAAGTGTCAGAATGGTTCGTTCTGATTTTGGAACGAGTCATTTCAGATGCAAAATTAACGCATGTTCAAGCAGAACGACCCGTTTTGATTGCAAAACAGGCTGTTCCAAACGTGCGAAAAAAATTAAAAAAAAAAAAGTGAACAGTAAATGATGCTAGTTGGGGAAATAAATTTGCAAAATTGCTATTTGGGTAAAATTTTTTTAAAAATATATTATTTGAGTAAAAAATTGCACCCATGATGGTGGAAATTAGATTGTTTTAATAATTAATTATATAGTTAAAATAAATTTTTGTTTGTGTAAAATTGTTGAAAAGATATTTTTAAAATTTTTAATTTTGTTTAGATATAACAAAATAATTTACTTTTATACTGTAAATCAGTTTTAAGAGAAAAAGAAAATTTGTTAAAAAAAATAATTATAAATTTTTAAAAAAAATCAAAATGCATAAAATCAACTTATTTATTTTTAGAAGTAAAGAAAAAAAATATTGTTCAAATTTTAGACAGTGTCTCTCTTAGTTAAGATTACTACCAACTTAAAGTGGTTTTTGAAATACTTAAAATTTATATTTATTATAAAATAAATATGTGATAAATAATTGTTTTTGATTTTCACCTTTAGTGGACTATCATACATTTCATCTATACATCTTACATATTACAAAAGGGATATATGTAAGTATAATTATTTTTTATCTCTATTTTTAGTAGACTATTATACTCTTAGAAAAAAAATCACTCTTATTTCATGAATAATTATCTACAATTACTCTTAAATTATTTTTTTAAAAAAATAAAAGACAAGTGTCTTTTTCACCCTACTAGTAATATTCAATGGAAGTTTTGCATTTTCGAATGCATAAACGAAAAAAGCAACATAAGTGATAAATTATTGGATGTACTTGTGTCGCCATTAGCTACCATTAATAGAATATGTCACGTGATTTTCACATTACTAATAAGACTTTTGACACATGAAATCGTTAATAGTTTCATCAAGCTTCAATATACTTGTGTGATATATCACCAGGCCATGTGAACCGTGAGCTCTAATACCTGTTGAGAATTAAAAAAATTTCTTTATGAAATATGCATAACAATGAGAGAACACACAAAAAGAAAATGTCATAAACGAAAGACCATATATATAAATATATTTAATGTTGTTTAATCCCTCATGCGCACATTTATGATATGTTCATTATCTCAAAATGCATTCTTAGCAAAACTTGAGAAACCCTCCCAACAAGTTTTCTAACAAAACTTGAGAAACTCTTCTTAATTATAAGTTTCATGATGAAACTTGAGAAACTTTCCTTACAAGTTTTCTATCAAAACTTAGAAAAACACTTTGGATATGTTTTAATTGGTGGTAAAGAGTGGAATCACTATGCCAAAATCGTTTATAGACAACGTTTATCTTATTAATAGAAAGTTTTTTTTAAGTGTGTTCTAACGGAACGATGTCTATTAATAGATAAAACTTCTAATAAAGCGCTATCTAATGACATCAATACAGACAGTGATTGGTAAAACAAGCGTTATGTATATATCCCTCAATAAAAAGTTCTTTCTAAACCAAGCACTTAATGAAGTGAGATGGAATAAAAATTCCATTGTTTGGTTTTATACAAATGAAGATGGAAGAAAATGGTGAGAATGGAGCAGGATGGAATCAAATGTATTCCATTCTAATGTTTTCTTCATTTTTTTTTTCTTCCCCTCCAATTTGGTGTGTACATAATGGAATGAAACTTTTCAAATTCTAAACTACTATTTACCCTTATAAAATTTGGCTCAAACATACAATTGGCATTGACCTCTCTTTTATTCTTTTCTATTTTTCTATCTTATAGAATCACATCCCATGCATGTGAAAAAC